AAAAAAAATATGCAAAAAGAGGTGAAGAATGCAGTGGCATGTTTGCATAGCACTAGAATAGGGGTGTAGGCAGTAGTTATTATCCAACAATGACATGTACCAAGATGTGAAGTTATGAGTTCATTATATTTGTTTCAGAGCGAAAGAATAAAAGTTTAATAGCTAATAAACAAATGAAAGCATATGATGCGACTTACCAAAACTTCAACTCTCAATTTCAGAATGTCACACTTTATTTCTCTTTAAGCATTTATGCGATAAGTTACTGTAGAGAGGTGTATCACTGTATAGCACAAAATTTTAGACATGAAACTGGAACACAATTATAAAAGCAAAAAAAAGGATCAAAACCAACCTAGAACCATCACTTCTGCAGTATAAATGATAAATCCTTCCAGGATACTTCTGTACATTACAAGGTGTATTGTGCAGTTCCTCATCTCGTTTTGCCTCTTCAAGCACTTTCACTGCAGCCTAAACCTTTAGAAAGACATTTCCTTGGCCATAAAGGTTATAAGATGATTGCCAACCTTCTGTAGTTGCTCCATTTGTTCTGCTATACTCCTCAAACGATCACATGCTCTTGTTTTCACGAGTTCACTATAACAAGAAAAAAATTCGAAGCATATTGCTGACATTGCGATGAGACAGACTTAGCAGTGCTTAGTTGTTGTGCGAGAGCGACCAAATCATCTGGGGAAGCTTGATCGCTGTGTTTACATGATACCACAATTCGAGAGTCACTATCTCGTGCCTTCACAAGTTTCACTTCCGCTGCAATGATAGCGTGTAAGGCTGTTAACAAAAAGCATTTTTTTGTGCCCTCCCCAACAGAACTTCTCCATACAATATACACAAGAAATTCAATCTCTTCTATCAGTCCTCAACCTACAATCCTTTTTACTTTTTACTATACTATAGAGAGTGCCATTTGAACAATGCTACATAAGGCTTGTAATAAGGGGGATAGAGTCTACTTGCCTCGTTTGATACCTATAAAAAAAAACAATTACTTAATTTCTTCTTTAGATATCCATAACCGATATCTTCAAGCTGCAGTTAACCTGAAGGCATGGCCAATGCATCATTGAAGAAAGAATTATGTAAATTTAAATGTATCTAAATTGACTGCAACCGGAATACTGCGCAAACCGATATACAAAAATTCTGAGTATTACAAAAAAACGCGGGATATCCCTGCTGCAGCGTCGGTGACCCCTACACTACCCCAAATGAGAAGACTGAGAGAAACTGGTTATGCAAGATGCTAACAGAATGATCTTTCTATTTCGCCTGAAAATTACTTATTTACTTTGGCACGACTGGAGCGATGATGACATTCCGAGAATCTAACACAACACAAATCACTTCAACTCCATACATCTTCAAAGAATCGAGCGCATATGGAAATCAGGAAAAAATTGCTTAACTTTTAAAAAAAATTGCACCCTTTACTGCACACATCACTGATCAACCCCACATCGCAACCCTACATATCACGAGTCTGAGAAGACCCCAACCTGGATACTGCAAACGAGACGTACAAAAGCCCCTGACT